GGCGGCGGCCGCGAGCCCCGATGAGGCCCGAGCGCTCCCGGCCGCGCCGCAGCGCCTCCGGCCCGATGGAGGCCCCGCCGTGGGACCCCCTCCGCAACGACTCGCTGCCGCCCACGCTGACCCCGGCCGTGCCCCCCTACGTGAAGCTCGGCCTCACCATCGTCTACACTGTGTTCTACTCGCTGCTCTTCGTGTTCATCTACGTGCAGCTCTGGCTGGTGCTGCGCTACCGCCACAAGCGGCTCAGCTACCAGAGCGTCTTCCTTTTCCTCTGCCTCTTCTGGGCCTCTCTGCGGACGGTCCTCTTCTCCTTCTACTTCAAAGACTTCGTGGCGGCCAACGCGCTCAGCCCCTTCGTCTTCTGGCTGCTCTATTGCTTCCCCGTGTGCCTCCAATTCTTCACCCTCACGCTGATGAACTTGTATTTCACGCAGGTGAGTCGCGGGAAGCACCCCCGATGGGCGGGAGGCACCTGCCGGGCGCTCACCGGGTAGGATGGCCCCCGCGCGGCGCTTGATACGGGGGCGACGGCAGCCGCTCGGACCGGTCCCAGAGCTACAGGGCTGAGAATGTGGGGAAAACGTTGTGGGGTCGCCTGAGCCCTGTCCTACCTGCAGGCCTTTCTCCCAAAAGAGGAGAAGGAGGAGGAAAGGCAAGGCTGGCGGCCACATCCAGGGGGTATCGGACCCCCTCCGCGCAGGGCGCCACAGCATCTTCATGCGCACATTGCAGTTGGTACTGATGGGAGGTGTGCCCACCAGGGAGACTTCACCTCCAGAATTTCTCCTCCATTACCTCATCCCAAAGCACCTCGCTTCCAGTCTGGAAAGGTCGTCTGCACACTGGCCTCCAGATTTGGGCCAGACACTGGCTTTTTTTGAGTGATGGTGGGGTGGGACTGTCCTGGTTTGGATGAGATGTTTTGAATCTCCAGCCTAGGAGTCCTACTTTAACTCCGGCTTACTAAGTCATTCCACGGGATTGCTAAACAGCAGCCCGGGTGAACACCCAGCTCCCGAGCTGCTGAACAGGAGTCAGGCTTGCCATCCGAACTCATCTGCGAGGCCCCAAGAAAAAGCCGCAAAAATTTACTGGGGCTTTTTTACAGGCACGCAGGAGTCATTTTATGAGGCCTATTGTTAATAAGCTGATGGGAGAACGTGCAAAGTAACTTGGCAGTCGTGACCACTGACTTAATGCAAGTACAGTGATTGACAAGTACTTTGCAAATACTGTGTAAAATATTGCATAAAGGTTTAATAGCACAATGCTACCACCCTCGTCGTCATCTCTGATTCCCATTAGCTTTCCAAGCACTAGAATGTCCATTTTCACTAGGCCTCTGCTCAAGGAGAAGGCACCCACCATGTCACCTGGTGAGGGTAATTTAAAAGCTGTGTCATGGGCGGAAAGTTTATGCAAGCAGGCATTCCATTCTTTTTAACACTGTCCCTATTTCCCAAAAGAAAATTTCATTGATTTAGAAAAGAAAAAAGAAAAAAAAGATAGAAAAATGTTGCCCTGATGTAGTGGAAGCCCCTGACTGAAAATTTGGAAGAAATACTTTTGGCTAAAAAATAGTATATGTACTATTTAGTAGCTATTATACTGTTATCCAAATGGATCTACGCTCAGAGCTTTCTCCTGAGTCCAGCATATCAGCATATTTTGCAGTCCACGAGTAATGTGTATGATTTGTCCAAATACTACTTTTAAGCCCGAAAACCAGTTCAGGCAGTCAGACACATTGCAGACACTGGGCTCTTTAATTGGATTGAAAGAGGTGGTTCCAGCAAGATAGGTTGATGTTACTTCCAGAACTGTGACATGGTCGTATTGCATATTGAGGTCTGTATTCTTGTCCCTTTTTGAGGAAAAAAAGGGAAGTGTCGGGCACTGCCATGGAGCTCTGGTCATCACTTGCGAGTTCTGCACTCGGAGCTGGGTGCGGGGCAGGGCTGCACATTTTCTGCACCATCTGCTGGTGGGCAAGTAAATGCTGAGTGAGGGGAAGAGTGACCAGGCCGACAGCCACTCAAGCTGAGAGGCTGCGAGCCATAGCCCTGGCTTCTTTCTAACTCCCAGGTCTTTTTTTCTATATGTCTCCAGGGGGGCCGGCAGGAGAAGGTGGTACCTAAGTGCTGGCATCTGAGACCCTGGCAGAGCAAAGCCATTCCTTGGCTTCCTGACAAATGCTCTGAGACTCCTGGGGAGTTATAAACCGCTTTCCTCTCCCCTCCCACACGCCTTCTCTTAGACACGGTTCTCACCATTGGAATTGCCAGAGGAGCTTTAAGAATTACTGCTGCATGGGCCCCATCTCAGAGCAAGTAAATCAGATTTTGGAGGGAAGGGGGATAGCGGCTAACAATTAAGAAGCATGTCCTATGTGCCAGGCGCAGTTCTAAGTGGTTTGTCTTATTTATTCTTCACAAGAAGTGCTGATAGCATCCCCATTTTACAGAGGAGGGTGAGAGAGGTTAAATGACTCGTTCAAGGTCACGCTGTCAGTGCCCAGTGGAGCCCGGAATCACACCCGCATCTGTGACATCTGAGTGTAAGGCTTATCCTTGATGGTACAGTATTTGAAACCTCTGACAATGGAAAACATACGCCACTCTGAATGTAACACCTTGTTCTCCGGAGGAGAACATCAAGTTGGGGAGATACAAAGTATATATACGGCGTAGTTAAGAAATGACTCAGTGGACTTAAGGGAGCGTATGTGTAAGCTTTAGGAGACTTGAGCGGGACCTGAGTCTTCCGAGAAGAGGCGGGTTTGCACCAGCTCCGGAGGTTGGGAGGCTGGGTGGGAGGGACGAAAGGGGAGTGGGAAGGGAGCAGCGTGGCAGAAGTTTGGAATTGGAAGGGGATTCCGAGAGTGGAGGAAGCTTTTCTCTGTTGTTGTCACGTCCTTGATTCCTGGCCCAGTGCCCGGGGTTTACTTACTCATCTCACTGAAGCCTCGCTGATAACGCGGTAAATACGGTTTTATTACTCTCTCCTCTGAGGTTCAGAGAGATGCGGAAACTCGCCCGCAGTGCCTTGCAGCCTGTGCTGCACCTCTCTGAGTGCCTGTCCTGAGTACCCCTGTCCTGGCCATTGGAGTGCCACAGTCCAGTCCCTCCTTTCCCTCCACCACCCACCTTGGCCGATGCCTATGTGCAGTGCACATACTGTGCAGCTGTAAGCAGCCCCTGCCTGCCCAGTGACACACATTTTAGGGTAACCTGATAATTGAGCATGCTCAATTTGATTTATGTTTTTCCCAAATCACTGTTTTAAAACAATGCTAGGTTGGGTCTCTCTTTCCACCCCCTAGTGACCTCTCAGACAGAATGACCTTTCTAGTCATTCTTGGTTATTAAAGCTTTCCATCCCGCTTAAATCTGTCTGCCCCTATCCGGAGCAGCCCAGGCTTAGATATCTAGGGCTTGGAGTAGCAGGGTATATCCTGTGCTCTTAGCCTCCCCCCTTCCCCCCTCAGAATCTGGCTTTTCTGGGGCTGGCCCAGGGAGGGGGCAGGGTTGTCTCATGTGACTCTCTGCCGGTCCGCCTCGGGTCTTGCTCTGCCTCTCTGGGTGACTCTGCCATGTGGCCGTGTCTACATTGTGTGATCAGTTTCATCCTGGCTCCCTCTGCCCATCTCCCTTCCATCCCAGTCCCTTCTCCAAGTGGGGCCACCCAGGTGATGGGCTGGTGCCCACCCACTGTCTCCTTCCAGGTCCCCATCTGCCCCTTTTCATTCTCTGCCTGCCTAGGGGCCCTGCCACCTGCAGAACCCCCAGTGGAAGCAGATAGCGCCCTCTGAGTTCCAGGTGCCCTCAGCCCCCCATGGCACAGGTTGGCCTCTGCCAGGACTCCCTCTCCACACCCCACTTTGCTCTGGTGTCTACACCTGTTGGGCCTGTGCATTCTCAGCTCAACAAGCATCTGTCCCGGGAGCAGGGACCAGGTCCTCTTTCTTCCTAATCCCCCTGAGCAGTCCCCATGGAACTTTCTCCTCACTGGCCTGGGGTGAGGGCCATCATCTCCCACGTGAACACTGCTCTCCTGCCAATAGGCTGCTGACTCTTTTTCTCCACTCGTTGCCTTCTCATACAGGCTAGGAGGGAGGGAGGTGGCTGGTGGTAGGACTGGTTCTGCTCACTCTTAGCAGGCCCCATGTGTGGTGTGTGTACATCTGGCCCCAAATGTTTGCAGCTTTCCTTGGAACACTGAGTATTGAGTACCTGTTGTTTCCAGCCCTGGGCCCTGGTGTGAATTCTGGGGTACAGCCAAACTCCTGCTCAGCACCCTGCTGCACAAGGACATGGTAGGGCCAAGGCTTGAACCAAGGCCTCTCACTCAGAGCCTGTTCTTCTAGTACCATGTTAATTTGCCTTTTTATTGGGGCTTAGAGTGGGGCGGGACCCTGAGACCTGAGGCACATGGGGTCTCTGTGCGTGAGGTATTGTGGTGCCTTCCACCCCCCAGGTTGTAGAGTAGAGGCTTAGAAGCAAAGGCCGCCAGCTTCTGTGCCAGGGCAGCGCTGGGGTGAGGCAGGTCTGTCTGCAAAGCTGGGGCAGAGGGTCTTGGTGTGGGAGTGGGCTTGGCGACACCTGCGCAGCTGCATCTACCAGCTGTTCTCCCTTGGAATTATGCATCTGGACCTCAGACTCTTGGGGTTCTGAGTTTGGTTGAATGCAGTGGGCTCCGCTTCCCCCCATTCAGCCTAGTCTTGAGCCCTATGACAAATTCCTGCCATTTCAGTAGGGTAGTTTGAGGAAGGGAAAGGAGAAGTGAACCCTCTTGGTTGGGGGAGAGATGGTGTGATTAATGGATGCTGATGCAGGAGCCAGGACTGTGCCACACCTTAGAGGGCAGCTGGGAAGCTGCGGGGGGTTATTGTGGGTGCCTGAGGCTCATGGTGGGGGGCTGTGGCTCATGATGGAGGCTGATGGCTCATGGTGGGGGCCTGAGATTCATGGTAGGGGCCTAGGGGTCATGGTGGGGGCCTGGGGGTCATGGTGGGGCCTGGGGTTCATGGAGGGGGCCTGGGGTTCATGGAGGGGGCCTGGGGGTCATGGTGGGGGCCTCGGGTTCATGGAGGGGGCCTGTGGCTCATGGTGGGGGCCAGGGTCTCATGGTGGGGCCTTGTGGCTCATGGTGGGGGCCTGGGGTTCATGGAGGGGGCCTGGGGCTCATGGTGGGGGCCTGGGGTTCATGGAGGGGGCCTGGGGCTCATGGTGGGGGCCTGGGGCTCATGGAGGG